CTTGTACCAATCTTCTAACATTTAGTTCTCATTATAACTAATTTCTTCTGATGATTATCCTAACTGCCTGAAATTACACTTTTTAGTACTTAAGATGGATTTCTGCACCAAATTGCTATGTCTTGCTTAAGTACTTACTTATGTATTTTGTTCTATAATGAAATATATGTTGTCCATCTCCTGTATTTTCTACTCCAAAACCTACTACTTTTTATACAAGAAACTATTTACACTGGAAGGAACTCTAATTTTTAATGTCACTACTTAAGACCTAATATAGTTGAAAGTTTGGAGAATGATAAATCAGGATCAAAACAGAAAAATAGAAACCACTCTGAGGACTTCAAAACACGGAGAATTTAATTCAGGTGTTGAAATCAGAGGATGAAAGTTTTCAGAGGCAAAAGCAGGGCACTGAAAAAAATCTACAGCATATTACTAATAAAAATTAAATTAGACCTAAATGAATGGAGACATATACCATGTGCATGCTCATAAAATAAATGTTGACATCTGTTTGCTCAAAGTTAGTCTGTTGCCCTAATGCAATCCCAGTGAAAATGCTAGCAGACTTTCCTGTGAAAATGGTAAACTGAATCTCACACACATAAAAAAGTGCAAAGGACATAAAAGACCGGAAAAAAGTTGAAAAAGCACCTAGAAGGAGAACTAATGTTTCATTTATTATTATTGTTATTATTATTATTATCATTAAGAGAATAAAGAAACAGTAATCTTGTTTGGTGAAGCTCTGTATTGTTTCTAATGTTTTATTATTATTTATTCTCTTTAATGGTTTAATCAATATTGCATTCTTACCTCTGGTAATCTGAGCAACTTCTTTGAAGATAGCCATATGTAGTATAACAACCACTGTTAATTCCTATCGTTTTGTTTTGAATTAATGTTTCTTTATTTGAATTTTATAGTATAAAAATAGCTTAGCCACGAACATAGTAAAACAGATCAAACAATAAAACAGGAGTACAGAAATAGATTCATACATGTTTAGGCTACTAATTTTTAGGAAAAATGAAAGGAAATTCTGTGGAAAAACAAAGTTATCAATAATTTTCTAAATCTGTAAGGCAAGGTACACACAAAGAGGAAAAATAAAAGAAAGCTAGATAGAGACAGGATGGATCTTTTGCAGATGGGAAAGGGCCCAAGGGATCTAGGACAAGGGGTGTGGGTTGGGTATGGGGGAACAGGTGAAAGGAAGATATGCCAGGTACAAAGTCCCAAGAACCTCAGTGAATGTGGACATTATATGCTATAAACATAAACTAAGGTTAACAATATCAACAAGAATGAAAAAGAAAAATGGAAACCTAGAAGCGAGAGAGGTAGGGAGGAAGGAAATACAAAAAGAAACAAGTTTATTACATAAACGTACAACTCCCCCAAATGACTGTAAAAGGCATGTAATGCAAAAATGTACTAATAAAATAAAATTTTAAAAAATAACCACATCTGAAACAAAGAGGTATCCAGATGCAATTTTTTAAAAAAAATTACTCTCTAAAATATATAATGTCTGTCAATTAAAATGGATAATCAATTGAAATATGAAATCTAAAACTGTAACAGTTCTAGGAAAGCATAACTTTTTGACCTTGGGAAAGGAAAAGTGTTCTAATAATACAACACCAGAAGTATACTCTAAAAAAGAATAAATTAAGCTTTAGCAAAATTAAATATTTCTATTAATCAAAAGACACTATTAAGAGCTGAAATACAAATCACAGATTGAGAGAAAATATCATGCTAATTTAAATCAAGACACATACATATTCAGACTACATAAAGACTTGACTGCCAACCCTCAGTAAGAACAACAACCAAATAAAATGAATAATGATTTGACAGACATTTCATCAAACAATATATAAAACATAATTAGTTCTTCAGAAATACAAGTTCAGATCACTCTGCGATACAGGTGCACACCCATTATCGTGGCTAAATTTAAAAGTACTGACCATGCCAAATTTTGGTTGTGATATAAAGAAGCTAAAACTCTCATGAATCACTCATGGGAATATAAAATAGCAGCATCACTCTGGAAAAGAATTCACCAATTTTATGAAAAGCTAAATATACCTAAATCCATTCCTACATTTTGACCAAAAGAACTGAAAATAGGTATACCCAAAAAATATATGTATTGTCAAAGAATTGCAAGCAAAACTCTCACAGCAGTCTTATATTTAACAGTCTTGAACTGGATTCAATCCAAATGCCCGTTAACAGGTGAGTGGAAAAATAAATTTTAGTATCTATGCAATGGAATGTGTATGAATCAGCTAACCTCTTACTGGACCAAATATCTGACACCTGCCACTTAAAGGAGGGAATAAATTATTCGGGTCATGGTTTCAGAAGGTTTACTCCAGCATCGGGTGGCTGCAAACCAGAAACATTCTGGTGAAATGGTGAGACAAATACACCTTGTTCACGGCAGCCTAGAAGTAGACCAGTGGAAAAATCTAGGCAGGAAGGGTGAGGAAGCCATGTAGCAGTATTCAAGGTCATGTGTTCAAAGCCCACACAGACATAGCCAGAAGTGTGCTTCTAATCCCCTGGCCAGCTCCCAAGACAAAAAGGTGTCACAACTAACCTTAACCACCAAAGCATGCTACTCAGGAATAAAGTTGAACCCGATATGTGAATAATATGAATTAGTCTCCAGATAATAGGCTGAGTTAATGAGGGTAGGTAAAAGTAAGTGCGTCTTGTATTATTCATTATATTAAAAATTCTATAAAAGTAAGTTGAGGTAAAATGACAGAAAGTATTTTGTTTTGTTTTGATTTGTTTTTTCTCAGGATGTAGGCAGTGCAAGGAACCATGAGAGGAGGCAAGTACACTGGTGTGGAAGAAAACTTCCTGGGATGATTGATATATTCATTTTCTGGAATGTGGTGATGCTTCCCTGATATACGTTCTATTACAGTTTATCAAAAGATGTATCATAAATACATGCAGCTGATTATACAAAACTTTTAAACATTTACCCACGAATAAGCAACTTAAAAGAATATATAATTACTATGTATAATTATTACTGTTGGTTATCATATATTAGCTTTTATATTCTAGGATTATGCAAAATAAAGAAAATACAAGTACTAACATTTCTATTTCTAGACAAAGATAATAAAGCTCAAAAAACTAAATGATTTGTCTGAAATTATACAGTTTTAAAAAGAAAAGTTGCTTCATTTTTTAACAAAGAACACTTGTTGAACTCTATTAATTTTTAATCACTTCACCAGTGACAGCTGTTTTTGTCTGCTGTCTTATTCCTAACATTAAAGTTTCTTTTTCTTTCCATAATTTTCATTCCTTTTTCTCAATTTTTCCCTCACTGTTTTCATTGTTATCTACTACCTTGGGTGTTTTTCCCTTGTCTTGGTTACTTTTCTCTCGTTGCTGGACAAAATACCTGATGCCCAAAATTAAGGAAGAAAAGGTTTATTTTACTTACAGTTTGTGGAGGTTTCAGTCCATACTTGGCACATTACAAGGCAAACTGGCACATGGCAGAGAGCTACAGCTCATGGCAGCACAACACAGCAAAGCAACAAGCACAAAAACCAGGAATGGCCTCAAGCACCCTTTCCCTCTCCCTTACATATGCAAACTATCCACCCCAGGGCAGGTGTAGCTCTCACACCCATAATCAATCAAACTCTAAAAGCCTGCCCCATGACCACATGAGGCTTTGGGGGGACACCCAGAGACAAACTATAACATCCCTTTTATTAGTACTATTATTAAAAATATTGCTAAAGTTGGTATTAATATTAGCTATTCTATTTTACTATTTATTGTGTTTCACTTTAGAACCTACTTTTTAATTTTAAAGATAAAAGAATTAAAACATCCTAACAAACACACATACATTTAGAAAATAACACAAAAACAGTACAAGCAATACAGAATCTCAGACAAGGTGATATGATCAATCTTATATGTCTACCTTTGTTTATCTGAGTATCAAAATTGAAGATATCAATATATAACAGAAGCTATTTTGATGACCTTATTTTAACTAACCTTGGAAAGGATCCTATGAGGAAAATAGTAAAAAGAAACACTTGTCCATTGAAGGGTAGTAGAGTACGGGCAAACAATCATACCCTTATTTTTTGGAAATTTGAAATAGGAGAAATGTGACTCTATATTGATTAAAGATTTGTGCACTGAATGGGGCAGAGCCTAAACCATAGGCTGTTTTCGGCACCACTGGCAGAAGTCAGAGCAATGCACGGACCCAAAGGAAAATGGGAAAAGAAAACCTATATTAATATTTTAACCTCAGAAGTACCTAAAACAGTCAACAGCTTTTTTTTTCCTTAATTTTTATATGTGCAAAGTTTGATGAGTTTTTTAAAGTTTTAACCAATAATTCATTTTATGTCAAGTACCACAAATGTCATCTTTAAGATTTAAGGAGGAAAAAGTGTTAGAAATCAGGCATATTTTAGGATTAGCTGCAATATAACTTGTTAAACGTATGGTAACTTTTTTCTTATGTTTTTACAATATGTGCCTTTTCCTTTTTTCTCTTTTCTTCTCACTTATTTATTTATATAAACCATAAATTTCAAAAAAGAGGAGTGTACTGTACATTTTCACCAGAAGTGTTTTGGTACTGTATCTACAGAAGAAAATACTTGAATTAACATTGATTCAAACAGGAAATAAAGGTTCTTTTTTCCTCTAAAACATTGAGACTTCATAAGTTGCAGCTTTATAAAACTGTGGTAAACTTCATATATAGACTATGAAAAGTGAAATTTCAACTTAATGATTTACACCGAAAATGATTTACCCATCTGTAAAAGCAAGTAACTTTAACCATATAATGTACATAAAAGTGTTTCTAATTTTTAAAACAAATCTTTATTAACCTGGCATTAATGTTTATTCTTTTAAAAGAGTTTGTCCTGACCTCCTATCATTCAGATAAGAAACTTAAATGAATATTTTTCTTTGTTTCAACTTAAGCTTTATTTATTTAGTGTTTAAAAATATTTCCTTCACTTCACTAACATGGCAGACAACTGAAAGTCCTTTGAAGTGACTGAAAGCCCAGCGTTGGGGCAGCAAGGGTTGCAGCTGTCTTCTTGAGGTGGAGTGCAGGACTTGAGTCACGATTTTGGCTGGCTTTCTTCTGAAGCTCAGATGACCCAGACAGGACAACCTTGTCTTCCTCTGCATCAGGAGTCAGACATCAGCTCATGAGCAACAAAGAGCCACATCCTACACGGGACTGGTTCCTGATGGGTCACTGGGGGAAGGTCAGTGTGTTCTTTCTTCAGTAGGTAGCTTAACACTTTCTGGGGAACAAAGAGAAGTACTTTGGGACTCATCAGAGAGCGAGCAATCAAGGAAGGTTGCCTTCCTTTCAGCGACATTCTGTCCGCTTAACAGCAAGACACATGAAATCCAGAAAAGTCATTCAAAATCCCTCCTGGCTGCAACCTGAAGGTGTCATCCAAGGCAGACTAGGGGGTACAATGATGGTTCCAACTCAGTGGGCCTCTTCTTCCATAGAGGAGCAGCCAGCGAAGAAGCTGGTATTGCTGGCCAGAACACGCTTCTTTTTCTTCCTTGGGGCCTTGTTTTCTTGGGATTCTCTTGCAATGTGTTTAGGTTCTGGGAAGTCAAAGGAAGAGAGAGGCAGAGCAGCCTTCTTTGGTATCAGTTGCTCCCCATCATACATTTCTTTCAGGATGTTGCTACTGGGAGTGGCACAGACAGGGCTGAAGAAGCTCAGTCCTGGGGTCACTTCTGTGGGATCTTCCAAGTGGAAGGAGCCCTCAGAATCCTGGGTCCACTCAGCAGTGCCCAAACTCTCCTGGCTTTGCTGGCGGTTCCGACACTTGGTAGAGTTACAGCTGCAGGCCAGACCGCAATCCAGGTTTTGCTTCCTGCACCCACACTGCTTGTTCCTGCACCAGCCTTTGCAGGAACATCGTTGGATGTTCTTCCTGGACACCTTTATTAGCTTTGACGGCCTCCATTCTTCATCATCCTCGTCATCGTTATCACCATCATTGTCCTCGTTTACAGAGTGCTCTGAATAATATTTTAGATCATCGATGTCCGTACTTTGCTCCAGGAACTTCATTTTAACATGGGAAGATTTTGGCTTAGGTGGGATGTATTCAAAGGAAGAGTCTGGAGAGGGTTCGATATCCTCAGGAAAATGAGGTTTCTGCCTGTTAGCTGCCTGGAGGAGGTCCAGTTTCTGCTTGAGGTTTTCATTCTCCTGGAGAAGCTTCTGATTTTGCTCACACACTTCTTGCATCTTCTTAAGCTCTTCATCCTGACAGTGCAGTGTGCTCAGCAGCTGTTGTTCTTTTTCACTGCCTGTCTCCTCCAGCTCCTTCTCTGCTGCTTGGCTTTGCTGCAGCTGGCTGAGAATGTACAGTACCTTCTCTTGGTGCTGTTGCTCCACACTGACCAGTTCAGCTTGAAACTCTGTTTTCATCTCGGTGAAACGATTTCGTTCCTCAAAGAGCATCTTCTGCATGTCAGTACAGCTGGCTTTGCTATGTTGCAGGTTGCTTTCAAGACTGCTGATCTGTATTTTGGAGGAGACCAGTTCTCCAATTAAGTATTTCAGGGCACACTTGGCTTCCAGAATGGTAGCAATATTCTCCCAGCGTCTTTTTGGCCTGTCTTCACTTTCTGCATCCAGCAGCTTCTGTTGGATGTCGGCAATCTGAGCATTCCTGAGTTTTATTTCAGTCTCTAGGCTTTCAATCTGCCTTGTAATAGACTCCTCTGACTCTGAAGCCTGAGCAGGCATTTCAGCAAGTGAGAATGTACGCCTTTGAAGTTTAGGAGGTGGATTCTCCTCAGCTTCTTTTTTTGATTTGAGTTGAGCAAGGTCCTGAGCCAGGATCTTTCTGTCTTGAAGGAGGTCATTCAAATGATGTTTGGCTTCCTCAGTACTGACCATGACATCAATCTCATTTCCAAGCCAATTTTTCACTCGAACTGCAGTGCCTTCCATTCCACAGCTCTGCATGTCTTTTCGCTTATCTGAAACCTCCTGTTGCTTTTGGAGAGCGTCCTTGAGACGCTTGTTGGCAGCTGCTGCCTCCTCAGTTTTACGTCGGAGCATACTAGACTGCTTCTGGAAGTTTCTTTCAAGTTTGAGGAGCTCATATTGCCTCTTACGGTCCTGTTCTTTTAACTGGATGACTTCTTTGTCTTTTTGTTGCTTCCACTGTCTGAACTTCTCAGCATCCTCTTTCATCTGATGCATTAACTGTACTCGCTGGTTTTTCATCATCCCTATCTCCTGATTCAGTTTGGTCACTGTATGCTCTGTGGATTCCCTCATTTTCAGAAGCTTGAACTGTTCATGTAGCTTCTTCTTCAAATTAGCTATTTGATTCTCAAGCTCTTGGAGACGTTTGCGGCGGCGCTCACTCACCTTGGCCTGGTTGACGTCCTTCTTTGCTGTCTGAAGTTCAAGAATCAAGTCTTCCTTTTGCTTTTGCAGGTTAATGACTTCCAATTCTAGATTTTTTATGTTATCCTGGTACAACAACTGAATGGGGTGCAGCTGGCTGTCATTCTGAGTCAGTTTCCTGGCCAAGGCCTCTTTCAGTGCTAGGGCTTTATTCAACTCAATCAGCTGCCTTGACATCTGAGCTTGCTGCAGAGCATGGTGGGTGGTGAAAGCATCAGAAGACCTGCCACTGGTCTCTGGACTGCTTTGCTCCTGAGCTTCTGTTTCTACTGCAGTATCATTGGCTGTAGCTATGCAAGGTACAGTTTCGGGCAATAGTTGCAGAATCATTTGTTGCAGGTTACAAATTACCTCTACACTTTCTTTTAATTCCTGGTCTTCCGCATTTTCCACTAGCTTTTGAAGATCCAGTTTACAGGCTGCATGCTGCCTGAGCTCTTCTAGTTTCATGTTCAGATTTTCATACGCTTGTTCTGTCAAAATGATCCTCTCCAACATCTGCACTGTCTGACCAGTTGCCTCGCTCAGACCACGACTTAATTTTTCATTCTCCTCTACCAGCGACTGATTCTTCTCCATCAGGGATTGTAGATTCTCTGATGGTTCCACATGCATAGATCCAGGCGTGGTACCTCCGTGGGCTTGCAGCAACAAGACCTGCAGCTGCTGTACCTGTTGCTTAAGATGTTTAAGTTCAGCCGTCTGGGGATCGATGTTAATAACAGGTTTGTTTTTTATTTTTCTTGCCCTGTCAGCATAGCGGAGGGTGTTTAAGGTTTCCTCTAGATTGGAATCAGCAGGGCTCACACAGGCTATCATGAGTGTATGGCTGTTACCTCCTAGAGAGTCTTGCAGTAGTCGAGTCAGTTTGGAATCTCTGTAAGGCACAAAACCTCCCTTTCTGTCATCTCCAAGCGCGCGGATGACATTTCCCAAGCACAGGAGGCCTCGGTTAATATTAATACCCTCCTTTAGGCGATCCCCCTCAGCTTTGGTTTTCTTCTGCCTTTCTGATCCAGCGAGGTCTACAAGATGCAGCTTGGAGTGAAAACTGCTATTCTTGTCAGTTTTCTTTCTTTGCTCTATGGAGATTGTGAAGACAGCGTGAGACCGGGAGGACTGGGAGTTCATAGCCGTGGAGGCCACCGTCCTACAGGTGTTGCCCTGCTCCAAACAGGAAATAGTGTCCAATGCAACTACAACAGTCTTCTCAGTGAGTCCTATCATCTTGATGCCTTCCTTGGGATCTTCCCGGATGTTTATGTGAGAGGCTTTCTCTTGAGACAGGCATAGCAGATCTAAAATTTCTTCATTATAAATCTCTAGGTAAGATACTTTCAGAGTAAATTCAACGTCACACTTTTTATCAATTTCTTTGAAGAGCAGTTGTATAACCCTAGGAATGACCCCAACTGTGGGTTCATTCTCTTGCTCTGCAGTGTACGCACCTCCCATTGAATACGTTTTTCCAGAGCCCGTCTGCCCATAGGCCAGAACGGTTGCATTGTATCCCTCAAGTACGCCTTGTATGAGTGGTGCTACCGCTGTATTGAAGACCTCTTCCTGTTCAGTAGAGGGGTCAAACACGAAATCGTAGGTGAAGCATTTGTCAGTCCCGACCAGCACCTGAGGCTCCCCTGGCACGAAGGAAAGGCACATATGGCAGCCCTCACTGATCTCTTTAGAGACCAGAGGGCGACAACGTAGCGCCACTTTTACTGGAATTCTCTTTACCTCTTCCTTCATGGTCCTAGCTCAACACTCTCTCAAACTAAAAGTCCCTTCCCCCAGTATTCCTGGTCTCTTGCTGCCCTGCCCCAAAGTGAGCTTTAACTGCCAACTTTCAAGTAGTTCCCAAGGCACCAGCCAATCAGAGAGCATATAGGCTGGTGGGGGGCGGGGCACGTTTGTCTCCACCCATGATGATGCGTTAGAGAGGCGAGGGAAACCCTTGTGTTTGGCATTATACTTGCATGATGAGGAATTTCTACTTTTCAGTATGGTGTTGTGCTCACGTGATGGCACCTAAGAGGAAAGAAAGGACAGTAGTGTTGTCAGGAGGTTTTCTTTTTTAGATGTTTTTAAATTGTATTTTTAAAGTAATTAAAGTAATTACAGTATTTTTAAAGTAATCAAGTAATACAACTTATTTTAATTCAAAGCTATCAAAGAATATTTTAACCATCTCTCTCTCTCTCTTTCTCTCTCTCTGATATTATATATTCAACAGAAGAAAGAAATACACACATTTCTGCTACAGTGATGTTAGTTACAGCTATATTGAGAAAACACAGGCAGAAAACTATAAAAGTAGACCTAGGGAAAGCCTCACAACTTGACAATTATACTTCAATGAAAATTTATCGAAAATTAGTATATAATGGATCAAAGAATAAATGCTAATTGCTGAAATTTCCACATCCAGGAACATCTAGGTATGGGATAAAACTATCTGAAATAAGAAAAATTGTATTACTAGCAATATGTGAAATGCTTGTATTGGTTTTTAAACATACACCTTTCAAACTGTTGTAGGGTTGTTGTTAATATTAGCTCTTATTATCTCCATAAGTATTCAGAATATTCACGATCCATTGCTGTACTGAGATGTGATTTTCATAAGCCATAATCCTTCTTATTTAAATTTACATGTACTAAATGGATTAAAGGATAGTTGCTAAATTGCAAGGGTATTTTCTACACTTAGTTAAAAACCTTTAGAGATAGTATCCCATGGAGACTCTAAATTATCAATAATTGTTTTAATTGTTGATTATCTCCTAAATGAGTTTTACCATTGTGAATTCAAGTGTTACTTATGTACTTGCTCATATGATTTTCTTAAATATTCAAAGAGCTGGGCACAACCATGGAAAAGATAGAGCCAGACATGATGGCAGTCATCCCAGTACTTGGGAAGTTGAGGAAGGTTGCTGTAAGTTCCAGGTTAGTCTGGGCTATGTAGTGAGTTCAAGACCAGTGTGAGACCCTGTTTCAAACAAAAAGAAAGGAAAACAGTTGATAAATTTATGGCTGTGCTTTTCTGAGCTGGTTTAACACAAGGAGATATGAACTAGGAATATTTACGTCATCAAAATTAACTTTATGTACCTTGAATTTAGTCCCTAGAAAAAATATTAAAGCCAAGTAAGATATGCATTGAGAAAAAAATCAAGGTGTTGAATATGTGATGGTTTATGGAGGGTTAAATAATACATACAGTTGCGGGTTGTTCACAAAGCATTTGTAGATACATTTTAACTTAGAGGTGAAGCAATATCTACTGATATTTTATATAGGATAATATGAGTGAGTTTTTAATTAGTTAAAATAAAGTACAAGTGACTCAGACTTTTCTCAGGCTTGGGTCAAGAAACTTATTTCTCCATGCACGAGAAGTCTGCAAGGGCCTGAAATGGAATAAGATCAATAAGAACCCTGTTGAGCAGTATAGTTTGAAAAGAGATGCACAGTTAATGCATATATCAGAGTCTTTAATAAATATATAAAAATGTTATACATGACAACAGTTAAAATGGACAAATTTTTTTTTTTTTTTGGTTTTTCTCCGGTACCGGGAACCAAACTCACAACCTTGCGCTTGCCAGGCAGGAGCTTTGCTGCTGAGCTAAATCCCCAGCCCGCTAAAACGGACAAATTTGAATGAGAAAGGGGTTCTATAAGAATGTCAGTACTGAAGGTAGGGCTGACTATCTGATGAGTATAGTCCCTATTCCCAGGCCTTTGTGATAAGAGAGACATTCTCTGTTGAAATTACTAGTAGAAAAGTGAAACAGCTGAAGAAAAAGACCCTTTGGGGTAGGTGAAATATGAAAATTATGGCTTTCTCTTAAATAAAGAATTTCTGGAGTGTAAAAGTTTAGGAGAAATAAAAGGAAGTAGTAACTTTGAAGCTTGGAGAAAAATAGAAAAAAAAAATAAAGATGAGGATATAGTAGAGAACATATAGCCCTAAGGGATTATGTTTTAAGGTTTGTAAAACAAAGGTAAAATTGGCTTTCAGCCTGTTTCTATCAGTCATCCCTAAGTAATTTAATGTTCTGTAAAAATAAATCTACTTTGCCTTTATTTAAAGCATGCAAAAGCATCTACTTTTGTCAAGATTAAATCCTATGTAGCATCTAGTATGGCCTGAAACACTGTCTAATCTGCCAACATGACTCATGCATGGTTCATTTACATCAGAACTGTGATTTCCACTCTGCCATTTTATGAAATGTGTCTTCTCTTCATCTGCTTGAAAATTTTATTCAAATGACAACTTTTAACTTTTCTTTCTTCTATGAAGCCCATCCAGGATCATCTTATTTTGAGATGTACATAATTCTCCGCAAAGCTCACATTTCTTCATGTATAAAAACTTATAGTTAATATCTTCAAATTTATTTCTTCAATTTCCAGATGGATAAAAACTCTATTCTTGCGAATATGGAAGGATGGTAAAGGCAAACCAATTTTCTTTCTTTTTTTTCTAAAGATCTGTTTAAAATTCAGGGTATTGAAAATATTATCTCTCTTTGGAAGGGAAGATACACAAGTTTGCCAGCTGCCCTTTAAGGAAATAGGGTTTCCTAAATGCACTGACTCTTAACTGTGATTCTCATTGTCCACCTAACTCTGCTTTGCCTTTGTCCCAGTGAGACTTGAGAAATAGCACATGGAAACTAGAGGAACAAAATAAATACAAAACTTATGATGTCTGCTGCCCAGTAAGTAAAACTAATAAACTGTCTACACCAATACAGGCACACTTTCCCTTGTAAATGAAATCTATGGAAATGTGGCAACATTTTAAATTAGTTTCAGGAAAAATTCCAAAATTATGTTAACATAGAATTCCTACAGGGAAAATAACTCCCAACCTGTCAGACGTCAGGGATACTGAGTTTGTGTTCTCAAACATCAAGGAATGAAGACATGAACCAAAGGGGGAGGTAAGGAAAATTTTCTTGGAAATAAGAATAGCTCCTGGATTTCCGGGAAGGATCCCAAGTGAGTGACCACTGAAGCTCTTTGTCAAGAGTATGTTATAACAAAATCACATTGACGGTCAAACCACCATGAATCTATAGCATTACAAGTATAGCTGCTTAGATAATTTTAATCCAATAGGGAAAAGTAATCACATGGCAAGAGTACATGGAAGGAACAAAAACCTTACTGGAAAGGGATGAGAGAACAAATCCAGGTTTTCTGCTTGCCCACTTGTACGTCTGTGGCCTGCCTGGGCTCACTAAACAGGGTGGTGCTAATCACAGGCAATCACAAGCTGCTGTTCATCACGAGGGAGGCTTGCAGGCTTGACCACTCCATCTCTGTCTTCAGGCTTGCCTCACTTCAGATTCACCCTAGCCACAATCTTGCTGTGTCTTCTACGTGGATTCCCTCAAGGCCCTCATCCCTCTTTGACTGACTCTCAATTTCTATCTAACTCAGCTGTCTGTATTATTTAATATTGTTACTGAAATGAAATTCGAGACCAAATTGGGTCAACTCCAAAGTTGTGGAATCATCTCCCTGGCTCCCAAAATGGTATTAAAGTTGTTTCTCATTGTCTGAAACTCGAAAATAGAAGAGATAGAACCTTTAAAGAAAGTTTAATAATTTTTAAAATACTTATACAGAATTTATTTCTAGTAAACATTTTAAAAGAGTTCAGCTATGTAATAAGATAAAACTGTATTCCTCATTTTTGTATTCTTAAACTTATCAGTATCACCCCAGATATTTGGAATTTAAAACTCCTTGTTATGAATCAACATCAAAGTTTCAGGTAAAAAACATCACATAGTCTTCTCACAAAAATACCAACGACCTCAGTGAGAGCTCATTGTTTCTTTGAGAGTTTTACAGAGATACTATAAAAATAGAATAGATTATCTTCACTGTATGGATAGTCTATTAATATGTGAAAATGCTATTTTGATGGGGACAGGTAAAATTCTAACCTAGAAAAAATGAAGAAAGAATAGCAAACAAACCTATTTTCACAATTTGATCATTTTATTTCCATATTTCTCTATTCTCAGATAGTTCCATTATGTACCTGGATGTGGAATTTAATAAGAATAAATTCCAGGTAGCAAAAGGCAGTGAAATTAGCATTTCAAAACATTGTCAAGTTGCCTAAAGGTATTTCAGAACTTTTCATAATATCTTTACAATCATTTTTGCCCTTGGGCTTTTCTCACTAGCGTTGAAAATAAACCAACTCCAAAGGTGATAACTAAAACATCAACTCTTAGTTTTATAGAAGTCTGTGAAGATAGCTTGCTTTGACTTGAAAGATTCTCTGTGATTTTTTTTTTCTGTCTTAGGTACTGAAGTTTCAAGATAGTGCCATAAAAATTTTAAAAGTTTAATAGATGTGTTGTATAGGATAGCAGCTGTGTTTTAGTGACATTATAGAACGTTTAATGAAATATTTTATTGGATTGAAATAATTGGCCATTATAAGGAATGCTTTGTTCAAGGGAAAAATAATTGCAAGCACTTACTGAGCGTGACACACCAGGCAAAGTGTGGGACAGCTGAGACTATCAGAATTCTGTGAAGACAGCATGGTGTGGAATTTATTGTGGCTGGGTGCAGGCAGACAGAGGGTAAAAAGACCTTCTGTAGGGAACAAAGAGAAGTGTGCCTCTTTTATAGTGATGGAAAGAAGGTAGAAGACATCACAGGAAAATTTTAATAACTTCTGTGGTCAAACTTCCCTGGCAGTCTTGCACCTCAGTAGGCAGAGTCCTTGAAGGTCTGGATTAAATTTTCAGGTGGCTCCAGATGTCCCCAGGTGTTCCAGGACCTGTAAAGT